CTTCATTCTTCAGCACCAGGAGGCCAGGTTTGCCATAAACTGATAAGTCTGGGCTTGGAAACTAGATGCAACTCAGATCCTGTGAATCCTAGCTCTGGGACCCTAATTTGCAGACTACGTTTTCTCCTACCACTGTGTTTAGCACAGAGTAAAATCAACTTTCCCTGTCCCACAGCCAGCTGCCTTCCAAAATCACTGCCTAGTCTCAAAGCAATTATTCTAATTCCTCACATTCTAGAAGCAACTTTAAATACGGGCTGGTGTCACACTTGAAACTTTCTTAAATTCAGAACTCCCCAATTTATAATGGCTCAACTTTTATGACATTTTTTTTACTTTAAAATGGTGCAAACATGATACACAGTCAATAGCAATCATACCTTGAATTTTGAATCTTGGCCTTTTCCTCTGCAAGTAATATGCCGCAGGACAAACTCACAGTGCTTGGCAGAAGTAGTGAGCCACATCCCCCAGTGCACCATGGGATCCCAAGGGTAAACAGCTGATTGTCTTCAGTATATAGTGCTGTTAAGCTGTGATGTTCAGTATATTAGGTGTATTAATTCATTTTCTTCTTACAGGGTCTTCAATTTACAATAGGTAAGTTGTGGAACATTTACAATGGATTTTCTGGTCCTTCAAGTGGTAACTGCTAACAAGTGGTAGTTATTTTCCTTCTGAAGAAAATCACAACTGGTCCACTTCAACATTTTCCCTTCCAGAAGATCTTCAACCAGTTGTTGGATGTGACCAACTTAAACACCTTCTGCCTCCTCAGAACTCATTTTGGTGAATAAGAAAAACTGTCCCCCTCTGGGAATAAACCAGATAATGTGGCATGTTTTAAAATCATCTCCTTTGGGCTTTCCTGTCTCCTAGTCAGATACAGAGTTTTGGGATAAGATGCAAGCAGAATGGGAAGAGATGGCCCGGAGGAACTGGATATCTGAGAACCAAGAAGCCCAGAACCAAGTTACAGTCTCAGCTAGTGAGAAGGTAAACCCATGCCGTTCTTACACACGCTGACAGATTTCCTCATCCTCTTCACATCGTGTTTTATAGATTAGTTCATAACTATTTTGTCAGAAATCTAAAAATCAAAGATAATTTCATATGGATCTGACCTAGGAGAAATCACCGATAGATGGAACCAAGATAACCATTCAATGTGTCAAGGCAGTGAGCTGGAATCAAAAGCTCTTATTTTATCCTCAGTGTTCAGACCATTTGGCAGCCACCCAGAACCTGGATCCTGACGGCTTGGGGCAGTTACAGAACTAACATTTAGAGCGGATTGGCAAGAACTGGGCTCATCAGCCGCTTTAGTCCTGCTGATGTGCCAACAATAGAAGCTGTGCAGTGGCGAGGGAGTGAAGGAGGGCCTGGGCTTGCTTCACACGTGGTCATTACACCACTAGCAAAGAATCACGGTGGAAAAAAGGCTCTTCTCACCACCAGGCCAGGTCCCAAGGGGAATCCCCAGAGATACTCCTCTGATAGGAGCCCCAGCAACTGTACACATAGAATGAACAATCATGAAGTCCTGGTGGCTCTAAGATCAATCCTTCAAAAACACTTTGGGGGCCAAGCTGACAGAGAGGGGGCTAATTGAAAGAAAGAAAAAGATGTAGAATTTTCCTACACAGAAAAAAAGTACATGTCTGTGTCTGTCTGTATTGGGGCTTTGTGATGGAGAGAGTGTCAATTGCATTCACTTCTGAATAATTTCCATGATATTTTTCTGCACACAACAAATATTTATATATTTATCTACTCTGCAGTAGGTACTGGGGATAAGAGACTCTGATTTGAGGAGATCTGCAATTTACATAGTGATTAAAATGTTTCTCTCCTCCCAGTACTCTCTCTCTCTCTCTCTCTCTCTCTCTCTCTCTCTCTCTCAGAAGGCCAGACAATCATACAAAATCAGAACAAACATCTTATTAAAAATAGCTGTCTTATCCAAAGAAAGCAGAGCTAAGGTAAAAAGGGAGAAGGTTGATGCAGATCATCAGATACTGGGCTACCAGCCGTGTGCCTGAGGCCGACCTGGGACCCTCACCTCTGAACCACCCTGTTTCCATACTATCCACCACATAAGTTGGTAGTAACTGTGGTTTTGATGAGGGATTTTGTCTTTCTAAACACTAATGGAAAATGAAGGCCTCCACTTCATCTATTTTAATCCTTAGTAACATCATCAATGGACTAGCTTATTTGCATCTAACAGAGGAGAAGGGTTTTATGATGATCTATGCTATTGAGGTTACAACAAATAATATTGTCAGACACTTCAGGTGAGAGCGTAAGATGGGAAAAAACTTTCTCAAAAAATATTTAGTTACATATATCAAAGGCCTTAAAACAGTTCAAAGCTTTTAATCAAATTGATCCCTCTAGATTTTATCCTAAGGTAATAAGCAAATGCACTAGAGTTTGAGGAAGGAGGCTCTCACTTTAACATTATTTTATAATAATAAAAAATTTTAATAATATGAAAGTCTGTCAGTAGAAGATCAGATAAATAAATGTAATATATCCATAAAAATAATTTTAATAACATAGCGTAAACAATCACAATGTACGACTGTGAGGACTAAGCCACAGATTAC